TTTCACAAAAATATCTTTTACAAGTGCTTGTTCTAGGTGACTAAAAATTTGAGATTAATAGAAAAGTGGTTTTGATGAGGAAAATACTCCAGGCTGGGAACACCTGGAGAGCCAGATTTTATGTCAGGCCTCTACCCCTCCTCCTCCTCCTTCCTCTTCTCCTTCACTTTCCCATTCTTTTCCTTTGCTTCCTTTTTCTTTCCATTTTCCTTTTTAGGTCCCTTTCTTTCCTGTCCTTCTGTCTATTTGTCTGTTTTATTTCATATCCTTGGGAATGGCCCCAAAGCTCCTGGTGTCACAGGTTGTTTATGTAGAAAAAGGTGATAATTGATAGTTTCTTCTAAACTTAACTTAGTGATGAGTGTCAGTAATAATAATAAAGCAGTGTGTGCTGTTACTTGTAGTCACATAACCTTAAACTGTTTGCGTGATTTTGCTAAATTATAGACTCAGAAAGCCTTGGAGTATTCTGCTTGCTTCATAGTGGAGTGGTTTGTCTATTTTATAGGAGGAAACTCCAGGTCTTATTCTTGCATGATAATTGAATTGCCTCGTGCAGTCAAAACCAATCAACCAATGTATCTATGTGGCCATTGTGCCAAACTTCCCCTTGGAAGGCATTACAATTTCTGAACAACATTCAGACGTGCCCTTTTCAGGGCCACCTCGTTTTCTTGTGTCTGCTGAGCAAAGCATAACAGGGGCCAAAACACAAGCTGCTTCTTCCCCTGAGCACAGTTCAATTCACAGAGATGCTGAATGTAATTTCTTTTTTCTTTTCTTTTCTTTTTTTTTTTTTTGGTGTGTGTCTATGTGTTTTGAGGCCAGGTCAGTGTTAGGTATCTTGTTCTATTGCTTTTAGACAAGTTCTCTTACTGAACCTGGGGTTCACCATTTTGATTAGATTGGCCAGTCAGTCAACAAGCTATTGGGATCCACCTGTCTCTGCCCCACCTCCCCTTAAACATGTGCTACAGTACCTAGACTTTTCTGTGGATTCTAGGGATTGGAACTTAGTGCTGTACTTTAAAAATGGCGGGAGAGGGGCCTTGTTGGGTTGGAGTCAAGGGGCCCCACAGCAGACAGCACTCATGTGGAGAGTTTTATTAGTGGGGGGAGAGGGGAAAGGGAAAGGAGGTGCAGAGCAGCCTTGTGGGGAGAGAGAGAGAGAGAGAGAGAGAGAGAGAGAGAGAGAGAGAGAGAGAGAGGGAGAGAGAGAGAGGAGAGAGAGAGAGAGAGAGAGAGAGAGAGAGGGAGGGAGGGGGAAAGGGTGGGCAGGGGCTGAGAAAAGAAGAAGAGAGAGAAGGAGGGTGAGCCCCACCTTCTATGAGGGGACTTTGAACATGTGCAGAGGAATCACAGCAATGAGCGCATGACGTTGTCAGGACTTTGTGTATTGGCCAGGTCCCCAAGGGGCAGGTCTGAATGCTAGCACTTAGTCCCTCATTCTTTCCCAGCAAGCACTTTACCCACGCAGCCATCTCCTCAGCTCTGCAGCATGTCATTTCTTATATCACCAGAGACACGGATACAGTTTAAGTCTTTATAATTAATGGCACAACCTCATACCGTATCTGTGTGGAAATGAAGCTTGGCTAGTTTATTGGTTTCTGTTGCCTTCTGTGCACTACAGAAAGTTTCAATCTTTCCTAATATCTCCCTGGGAACTTCCTTTCCATACTAGACTGCTTGCCAAGTCTCCATCAGCAGCTAGTCTCCCAAGCTGACAGCTGAGTGAGTATTGAAAGTCAGACTATAAACCCGCGCGCGTACTTAGTGGAGGCTAAGAAGGAACCTTGGAGTTCGTGGTGCATGAAAGGCAAGGGAGAGAAGTAACGACCACAGAGCAATTAATGGATTCTCTTTATGCATTCATGATGGGAGAGGAAGAAGCAAGCATGATAAGTGAGCACAGTCATCGCTTTTAGGCAACTGAGTTACGCTAATTACGTTGTGTAACCTTAGTGATGAGTTACTGGCAGTCAGCAACAATGCAGTAGTTGGTACAGAGTATGTTGTGGCTCCACCAACTCCAGTGTGTCTAATTTGGAGTAATCCGGACAAAAGTGGAATGCCTCAAAACATGCTCCACCAGCCCAATGCAGTCAAGTGGTTGGTAGAGAGTGTTCTGTGGCTTCGCCAACTCCCGTGTGTCTAATTTATATTAATCTGAACAAAAATGGGATACTTCAAAACATGCTCGACCAGCCCAATTATCAACTGACACCATTGGGCAATATGGTGTATGCTGAAGAACTAATTTTGAAGTAGTTCTTTGTTTTGTTTTGTTTTTGAGGGAACTCACCTCAGACTGCAGATGAGTTTATGAGTGAAGGATTCGTGACTGAGAGAAAAAAAAAATTGGAATTCAGCTCTAGTGAAAGTATTCATTGCAATTTAGGGCATATAAAATTCAGAGATTCTTTAAATTCAATGTTGTGTGACTATAAAAAGAAGTTATTTACTTCAAAATCATGAAACAGGGAAAGTATATTAATGTGGAAATGGATAGAAAGAGGCTTTATAATGGAATGGGGATGACATGCTGTTTCCCTTCTGGTGTCTCCTCATTTACTAATCTAGAAACAGGTCAGCGTCTCTGCGCATGTTGGGAAGTCCTGCAATGGAGAGATGGGCCCAGGCTTCGCTATGTGTTTCTTGGGGGTATATACTCTTTATTATTGTTTCATTGAAAATACATCCCTGTTACTCGATAGTGACAGAAAGGAGAGTATGTAGCTTCCAACTCTGTGCGATGACTGCCAAAGGCTGCCGAGTTGATTTTAGAAGTAAAACATGAACATAACTACAAAACCAAGTATCTTTAAAGTTATTAGAAGTTTCTCCAAAAAATAATTAAAAGTACATGTGTACATGTGTGTGTGACAGCATTATTTGTGATAGTCAAGTGGAAGCCACCCAGATGCCTGTTATCAAACATGTTACCCCTCCCCCCCCAAGCCCCTCCCCCCCCCCCTGTGTGTGTGTGTGTGTGTGTGTGTGTGTGTGTGTGTGTGGCTAGGGAAGGCAGGTGGCAGGTGGCATGTCCCTGCCAACACCTTCATTGCAGACTTTTACCTCCAGCACTATCAGTAGATACATTTCTTTTGCCAGAAGCCACCACACCTATGGTGATTTCTTGTTAGAGCACTCCCAGAAACAAATACAGATGTCCTTGAGGACAGCGGAATACGCAATTCCCTTCTCCAAGCAGAGGCAGCATCTCTAAGTGTCAGTGTGGTGGGCTATGGCTGGATTTGGGGCTTCAGTTATCCTTACAAAGATGAATAAATTGAGGCCTAACAACTCATGGTGACTGCGAGTGGAGTTGGGAGAGGCTGAATGCTGGGGTGATTGCATGGGTGAGTTCTGGGCCCTGTCTGGGGTTGAACTGCAGCCCTGAGTGAGTCACTCTGAGTAACTTAAACGCTCCTTCCCCCAGTTTTCTCAGCTGGGGAACAGGAATGGAGACAGAACTCCATGCCCACATCTGCTGAGAAGATTAGAAAGAATGAGTGCTTACAGCAATACTTGGGAAAGGTTAAGTTGTATTAGCTAATGTAATAACTACTCTATATACTAGTATATAGAGTATACTTTATAATATACTGGGTTCTAAAGACTAGATAAGAAATGAAAGAAATTGGCACTACCTTTTAGGCTGAGCAGGTGACTTTTCCCAGTTCCTAACCTAGAAATTACTTTTAGGAAGATTGTTGTTCAGAATTTTTATTTGGTTCCCGTGTGGCTACCACAATAGAGATAAAAAGCCCCAGCAAGCTCAAGACTAACTGCCCTCTGTGAGCGCGTCATTGCACATGCAGAGCACCGTGTGAAATCCTTCACATGCATCAGTTCACTTTGTGAGATGAAGAAACCAAGGCTCCGGAGTCTGTGTCTTGCTTATTTGGGAGTCAAGCTGGCACTGAGCATGGGATTCCACCTGGGATGCTGTGACCCAGAAGTGTGAGAGCTCCTGTCACAGCACGCTGCCTCCTACAGTAACTGATGCTATCTGAATGTCCCAAAAGGATGCTCTCAACCAGAGAGACCAAGACTCATTATCGATAAATTTGAAGTAATTGTAAAGTTTCTTAAAGTATATGGAAATAATCTACTGCCCCCACTCTCAAACTATAAATCCTCAAAACACTGCTGCAGACTGGAAATGACATGAGGCTTCCAGATGTCTGCAGGACACAGGGATAGATACCTCTCATCCATAATCTTTCCTGTGAGCTAATGAGTGCTTTTATAATAATTTGAATAGGAGCAGGCAGGCTAGGTTTCCTTTCAGTCTGTTCCTTTTTCTTAGTAAATAGTAATAATAATTTTAAAACAAAATAAGATGAGTGCCCTTCTGTGAACACTGACCATTCTCACTTTCACTGTGACTATTTTTATCTTGGAAGGCAATGTCTTCATTTTCCCTGTTTGTTATATTAATTTAGCCCACCTGGTTAACTAAATATTTATTAAAAAAACATTCCTCTCATACCAAAGGCCTTCCAGGATACACTGCTGCATCATATAAATTAAAGATGAAGGATACTGAAACAGAAGCAGTCTCCAACCAGAGACCCATAAATAAGGCAGGAGCTGGTGCTCTGCTACTGTGCTTTTGGCATTTATCCTGCTACTGGCTTTTTCTAGGCCAGGGGATTGTAGCCTACAGTCAAAGGTTGGGGAAGATGGCAGTTATGTAATCCTTGCAATTTATGCAAATTTGCACAGATGGAACATTTTTCTGTAGACACCTCAAAGGTTCCTCTAAGTCTTTAAGCCAAGAATCACTGTTTTGAGATGAAATAAAGCTAATTGTCAGTTTCCTCCTTTGCCTCATCTCCAGTGTCAGCACAATATTCCATATGTTGTAAATGCTTGCTGGTTGCTTGACAGAGAACTAGAATTTCATTTTAGTAAAGACATAATGTTACCATGAGAAGGGTCACATTTCTAAAAGATTTCTAGAAGTCCAAGATATGAGCAGAGGACCTCACCTGAACAGGAAGGTCCAGGCTGATGCACAGGTGTGCTTCTCTTCTGAATGATCTGGTGTAGATAACCTCTCTTCTCGGGGGCTCTATTTCTTCATCTGTGAATAAAGATTTCAGTGAAATTAAGCCAAAGATGCCATCAAACTTTACAAGAATCCTATCCCCTGTGAAATGTCACTTAACCCTCCAGACTCTCTTCCACAGAGTCTAGGATATATTGTGAAGAAGCAAGGAATGTGCTAACATTATTTTAAAATTTATTTTGGGGGAAAATCAGAGTTTAAGAGTATGATGCTGGCTGATGACTTTGCAATTAATGTGTCCTGAGAGCTAGTTGAGGATGTAGCATCCTTCCCTCAATTTTCACTGCAGCAGCCAGCTCTTACGCTGTTTCTGGGATTAGATTTCTGGGCAATTTTTTTTTCAAAGAGGGGATGTTTCTTGTTTTCAAATAGTATGTTAATATCATATGGGGAGTGGGGAGAGGAAAAAGAAATTAGTATAATCTTTGAGTTTAAAAATTTGACCTTAGGCATGATGGTAGACTGTGTGTGATAAGTAATTCAATATTCTTATATATCTGCAAAGTATAATGCCACAGTTGAGTACAAGGGGCTGTAGCTCTTTATCGTGGGTAGAGTTTTTATTGCTGCAAAGAGACACCATGACCACAACTCTTATAAAGAAAACATTTAATTCGGATGGCTCATTTATGGTTTCAGAGGTTCAATCCATTATCATCATGGTGGGGAGCATGGCGGCGTGCAGGCAGATATGGTACTGGAATAGCTGAGACTCCTACATCTTGACTCAGAGGCATTGGGAAGCTGACTGACTGTCACATTTACTGAAGCTTGAGAAAAAGACCCCTCCTCCAGTGACACACTCCCTCCAACAAGGCCACGCCTCCTAATAGTGCCACTCCCTTTGGGGGCCATTTTCTTTCAAACCACTGTACTCTTCTTCTAGCCCTTAGAAAAGACCATGCCAGTCAGTCAGCTGAGCACATCCTCACAGTTTGGAAAATCTCCAGAGAGGAAGGAGTTAGCAATCTTAGAAGGACTGATGTTCTCACTGACTGTAAGCGGTCACAGAGAAGGTTTAGAACCACTTCATTGTTTTCAGAGGTGAATCTCAGAGAAACGATTGACAGTAAGAGCTATGTAAAGCAGGAGGGCGGGGTTGGAGAGATGGCTGATGACAGAGAACTTGCCTAGCATGCGAAGTAAGCATAAATAAATAAAAAATAAAGGGGAATGGGTGTCTTGGTGAGATACTGAGGATGCCAGTAGGAAAATGGTTCAGGGACTGCTTAATATGCCTTCCCCAGACTGCCATGAACCGGGAGGCAGGATTTAAGATGAGATGACAGTAGTGGGCATGGTAGTACATGCCTGTAATCTTGGCATCTGGGGGGCGGAGGTAGGAGAAATTCAAGGCTGAAGAGTGCACTTGAGGTCAGCTTTCTCAAAGAACCATGGGGGAAAAATAGAGACAGAGTTACTAAAATTTCACCAATTCTATGATCCAGTCTCTACAGCAGAAAAAAAAAAATGACATAGGAGAATGTGTTAATTTGTTAATATTTTACTTTGTGCATCCTGAACTTACTTTTTTATGACGTTCTAGAGGTTGTTAACCCTCTCTGAGTATGGGTTACATGAATAATACGTGTGATTTGTGATCTTTGCAGGTTGTAGAGATTAATCCTCACAACACAGTAAAGCGTTTTTCATTATAGCTCATGTAAGGACAAATTTATCTCAGTTACTATTTGTTTCTCACACTTTCTATGCAATTCTCCCTCTTATCTGAGAGATTTCTGCTTATTCTTTTGAACACTTCAGACTCAAACTAGATAGGTGGGTAAGGGGGCGGTGGGCCAGGTGGGTGGGTAAGGGGGCAGTGGGCCAGGTGGGTGGGTAAGGGGGCGGTGAGCCAGGTGGGTGGGTAAGGGGGCGGTGGGCCAGGTGGGTGGGTAAGGGGGCGGTGGGCCAGGTGGGTGGGTAAGGGGGCGGTGAGCCAGGTGGGTGGGTAAGGGGGCGGTGAGCCAGGTGGGTGGGTAAGGGGGCGGTGGGCCAGGTGGGTGGGTAAGGGGGCGGTGGGCCAGGTGGGTGGGTAAGGGGACGGTGGGCCAGGTGGGTGGGTAAGGGGACCGTGGGCCAGGTGGGTGGGTAAGGGGGCGGTGAGCCAGGTGGGTGGGTAAGGGGGCGGTGAGCCAGGTGGGTGGGTAAGGGGACCTGTGGGCCAGGTGGGTGGGTAAGGGGACCGTGGGCCAGGTGGGTGGGTAAGGGGGCGGTGAGCCAGGTGGGTGGGTAAGGGGGCGGTGAGCCAGGTGGGTGGGTAAGGGGGCGGTGAGCCAGGTGGGTGGGTAAGGGGGCGGTGAGCCAGGTGGGTGGGTAAGGGGACGGTGGGCCAGGTGGGTGGGTAAGGGGACCGTGGGCCAGGTGGGTGGGTAAGGACGGTTCCGGGAACTGAGGATTCACCAGCAAGAAGAGTAGGTGCGGCGGTGCCGCGTTCTGTATGACCCTCATCTGTTTTCTTCTCAGTGGAGGAAACCGGGATGCAGCTTTACTTTCTGCTTTCCTTTTGTCCTACATTATAATCCGATTTTCCTGTCAGCCAAATCCAGAATGAGGTCAACCTGACTGTTTTTTTCCCCTCTCTCTCCTTGTTTAGACTTTTAGACAATGAAACAACTTATTACAAGGAAGGCTAGCTGGGTGTGGTGGCACTAGCCTTGACACGCCTGTAATCCTAGCACTCTCCTGGCAGGTGGATCTCTGTGAGTAAGAGGCTAGCCTGGTCTATGTGTGAGTTTTAGGCCAGGCAGAGTTACATGGTGAGAGCCTGTCTCAAGTTTTTTTTTTTTTTTTTTTTTTTAATTAAATAAAATAAAAGTATGTGAAGGCTCAGTGTCTCCACGGTGGGGACATGCGCTCTTGATGGCTTTCTCTTCCATCGCTGCCTACTGTGCCTAGCAACAGAGCTTCCCGCAAAGCAACAAACTTATTTTTCAATGGTTGAGTAAAAAACGGGAGCAGTAGTTTGCTACTCTTAACAGAATAAACTCAGAGAATCCCCTTCTTTCAGGCATCCTGACAAAGAAAGTGAGTATCCATCCTCCGCCTCTGGGAAAAGAAGCTGCACTGGACCCCTGACCCGTGCTGGCCTCACATCGGTTGTATACTCCTGCTTCTTCTATTACTACTTCCTGCTTTCCCCCTCAAAACCAAATCTGCCTTCTACAGCCTTCGCTGCTCAGAGTGAAGGCTCTTTCCAGGAACTCACTCACAGTAGAATGCAGTTACGTAACAGAAAACAGTTAGACTCCAGCTGATCAAAACTGATGTGTTAGAATTAGGATCAACATAGCGATAACCCTTATCGCTTACAGAGGTGTCACACTTATGAGTAACTTGTCATGTTCAAGCAGGTTGCATGACCTGTTTGTAAGATAAACCACATAGAGCTTTGTAAGAGAAACCTGCAGTTTAACATGTGGTATTTGCAAGGTCTATGCCAACTGAATAATCACTTTCTGTAGCATTTAGTTTAATGACTTTTAGTGATTATTAAGTTTAGAGGCATGTTTGTAAGAAGGTGAATTTTGTACGTATTATAATACTAGTAGATACCACATGTATCTCCACATACATCTTTGTTATTTACTTACACACACACACACACACACACACACACACACACACACACACACACTTATGGACTAAACTTAGGATATACTAGGAGTCAATCTAAAAGTAACAGAATTAATTTATTTTATAAGTTTTTATTTTATTTTATATACATTGATGTTTTCCCTGCATGTGTGTCTGTGTGAGGGTGTCAGATCCTCAGGAACTGGAGTTACAGACAGTTGTGAGCTGCCATGTGGATGCTGGGAATTGAACCTGGGGCCTCTGGAAGAGCAGTCAGTGCTCTTAACCGATGAGCCATCTCTCCAGTCCCAATATTTTATTAAGTTTTAAGAAGGGGATTAGATATGTGTGTTTCTTCATACTTATCATTCCTAAGTACTAAGAATACTTTTTATTTCTAAATTTCATGCTCATTATGCTTGCAGACAACAAGTTTAATGTGAAAGTTTTTAGATGGAACAAATGCCACAGAGAGCACGTGTAAACATTTCAGGAAAACGTCGTTTTATCACTTAACTGAGCTAAAGACGTGCAAATCTCTGTGGGGTGACAGCTTCTCCCTCAGTCATTTCAAATATGTTATGTTATTTCAAATAGCTCGGATAACCAGACGGTCCTCACTATCTCAATGCCATAAATTCTGTCTATTTGTATATACTAGTTCAGCTTTAGAGAAAGTAAACTGTCTAGTTAAGGGAGTTTGTCTCTTTAAGGGAAACGTTGCTGCATTGTGGCTCTGCTAATAGTCCTTGCTTCTTAAACTTCGTTTTCTTTTTGGTGATACAGTCTTGGCTATGTAGAGCAGGCTAGTCTCAAACTCCCCATCCTGTGTCAGCCTTTGAGCTGTAATCACAGATGTGGGCTACAGAAAGATTTCTTTGTTAATAATTTTGATGGCTGTTAAACCTGTACTAGCTGTGGGGAAAAAAAAATTAAACGCTGAAATGTAACAGTGAGAAATGTCAGAGTAGCCAAGAAATGGGGCATATTCAATTACCGTATTAAACATATATTGCCCACTCTTTGATATTTTTTCTATGTACTTTTTTCCTTTAAGCCCACTTGTGATTGTTAATGGTGCGTTCTGCTTGGTTTTTGTCAACTTGACACAAACCTGGACGTATCTGGGAAAAAGGAGTTTTAACTGAGAAAATGCCTCTATCAGATTGGCCTGTAGGCAAGTTTGTGGGGGTGTTTTCTTGATTGGTGATTAATGTGGGAGAGGCCACCTCGATGCTGGCTGTGCTTTCCCTGGGCAGATGATATAAGAAAGCAGGCTGAGCAAGCCGTGAGGAGCAGCCAGTAATAACCAGCACCCCTCCCCCTCCGTGGCCTCTGTCTGAGTTCTTGCCTCTAGGTTCCCGCCTTGGCTTCCTTCACTGGACTGTGACCCAGGATATGTAAGCCCAACAAACCCTTTCCTCCCCCACTTGCTTTTG